CTCATTTGGCTGTGGAATGCGCGATGCACGTCGAATTACGTGTTCCGATCTGATGCTGCGACGTGCGCGCGCGCGTGTGTGTGTGTGTGTGTGTGTGTGTGTGTGTGTGTGTGCGTGTGTCTCGCCGTACAAGATGCTTGCGTAACGAACGGCGGCGGCAGCGTTTGACGTAATTTCGCGAGAAACGCGACGACGACGACGACGATCAACTTCTGCAAGTCGTATCTTGCGCAATGTATAGATGCCGGAGAAATTTTCAACAGGTTTTCTCGCGCGGCTAATCGGATTACGCGTGTATATATAGTTGCGGAACTTTTGTTGGATTCCTCGTGAATGAGTGTCGTTTGATCCGGTCGCTCCTTTTCGATAGCGTCGCCATTGCTCCTCATCTTGTGCGCCGATGTGCCGTCGGAGAACGCAAAGCCAAAATTACGTCGACGATAAAACGCTCTGCTGTTCTCTCTCTCTCTCTCTCTCTCACTCGCGTAAAGCTCAATTTTCTCGCGTAAAAAGTGACGCGCCAGGCGGTAGAAAGCGAAAGCCTTGCAGACGAGTATCAAATTACGCGGCATCGGCAATTTGCGTCTGCGAAAGGGGTATCTGGCCAACAAATCTTGCAGCGCGCGCGCAAAGAGCGAGAGAGAGAGAGAGAGAGAGAGAGAGCGAGCGAGAGCGTTTACCCCTTGGCGAAAACAATCGGTTTTTTCGGCGCGCTTTGACGTCACAAGAGCTCTGACGCACATCTAACCGGTGCAACGTCTCTCTCTCTCTCTCTCTCTCTCTCTCTCTCTCTCTCTCTCTCTCTCTCTCTCCCTTCGCCAGAGCAACACGCGCGTAGATTCAGCTCGCGATGTTGTTGTTATCGCTCTCGTAGAAAATACTGCACTGTGATCTATTAATACCCGACGTAAACAGAGCAGGCCGGTGCGTTATCGCCCAAAAAGTCAACGAGATAAGCCCGGAATTTGAACGTTACGACCTTGGCACACTACGGCGCGCGCGCGCCTTCTCGTTGTCATTCGTACGCGCCAAAGCACGTCGTTGCATCTTTGTCGAAAGGAAAAGAAATTAATTTTTCTGCTTTCTTCGAAGTGGGTCACGGTCGAGCACACGTGCGCTCGCGAGCGTCGATTGCCTCTTATTATACGTACATGTACTCCGAGACACAAATACGCGGAGTGATGTGTTGTCATCATAATAAGCGTCGGTACATCCATGACAATGACTTTCTAGGTCACTTTCGTCGATCTCTTGTCGATTTCATTGTGTCGACGTGAAATAACCAGCTGATAAAAACAATCTCCTTGCGTTATTGCCACGCGCCATCGCTGTGAAAAGTAACGCTAATCTCGAACTCTCCGTGCGTGGTTAGTTCTTGAGCCGTCGTCTTCTTTACGGGGCAAGGGAAGAGCGGCAGCACGACCGATCGCACTGGCCGAGCGTACGCCCACGGGAGCCTCCTTTTCCGCAACAGCAGCAGCAGCAGCAGCAGCCTCGTTTGCATCCTATCGCGCGCACATCGATACGCGTATGTGTGATGGCGACATCGTTTTATCGTTTCGAGACCTCGATTCACTACTTGGCCTTTTCCTCCTCCTTTGCCCCGCTCCTTTTTCCACGCCGTTCGCGAGGAAGCGCGGATGTAGGTGATCTGGAGCTGGGGGTGGGGGGTCCGACAGGGTAAAATATTCTATTCAAGTGGCTTTTATGTATTTTGACCCGCTGAATACGAATTTCCAGGAATGCTCATCGAGACGAGTGTCATTAATTAGTTATTAACAAATTGACTGTTCAAATGACAATGAAAAATTGATTTATGGCCTCAGTACTAATTTGAAATGTGCCATGCGCGTAATGAAGAGATGGCACTCTTTAAATTGAAAAAATATTGCGTAGAAACCGAGATGTTGCAATTTATGTAACAAAACGGCGCGAGCAAAGACGCACAATGCGGTTGTCAGATAAAAATTAAAATGTCTCGAGGTCTATTAAATATTTTTGAAATCTGCAATAACCCACTTATTCCCTATAATATAGGGAATACTTTGCCGCTCTGAAAATGTTGATAGAACTATTAATAAACTATTTATTGCCCTCGTGTGTTCAGAATGCATAAAAATAAATCGGGTGAAACATTTTACCCCTACCGGCCACAACAGCCCCGCTCGTCTGGCTCCTAGACAATATCTTTCTTGGCGTCTTCTTTTTTCTTTTCGTCAACTTACGTGCTCAAACTACAATCCAGACGAGCCCGACATTAACAGCCATCGGATTATTCGGTCGTCGCCGCCATAAGTCGGTTGCCGCAGAAAACACGTCGGGCTTCGCTAGTTATTCCACGTTGGCTTTATGAATGAAATAAAAAGGAATGCGCGCGAGCCGGTTCCCCGCATGGAAAGTATACGCTCGGTGCGCATGCCGTCGTCGGTCGATTAGGCTGTCGCGCTCGATTGCGTAACGCGCGCGCCGGACAAATATTAACGCCCAAAGATCGCCCGCGCTCGATAATGGAACAAGGTGGCGCGTTATTGGGCGCGAGAGTCTCGGCGCGCTCGTAAACAAATTAATCGAGTCGATTGCACGGCGGCGCGAGCGGCCCGCGTGCGCGTTCGCGGATGCATTGGCCAAAATTTCCGAGGACTTGCGTCAGGTGGGAAAGAAACAACAAAAAAATTCAGTTTCGCAAGCGCGCTTTCAAGTGCACTTACCTAACAGCGTGGGCTGTGTTGTGTGTATGCGAATGCGACCTCCGCGCCCCTCCCCCCGTCCCCCCTCTCGCCTTCTTTTCGTACACGCGTTAAGCAAAGGAATTCGCGGTGAAAGTGAAAACGGCTAGTTTTGCCAGCCGAGCGAGTTGTAGAAGCCAGGCCCCCGTAGACACAATGTGTGTGTTTCCTGAATCCGTCTGTATGTGTGTGGCGCCACGCGGAAAGTCACGTAACACGCTTACTGCACCCGCACACTTTTTTCTCTTTTCTTGTTGCTTTTTTTGTGAGAGTAGTGGAATATTTTTCTTGTTTTTTAAGTTATCATCCGTGAAGGTCTTAAAATTTTGATAAATGCTAATTTTTAATTCAATTTTTTTTTTGTATCGCTTCAGTTTTCACGCTTTCTCTGCAAATATCTGGGTCTCGCGTGATTTTATTAAGTTGAAATTTGCATTTTTGAAAATAAAAAACAACATCGACGAGAATAGATACACAAGGAAAGTTGGACAATTGTATATCTTAGTTTTGATTAAATGAGTTTAATCAAATGCAAATTGTATGCAGATGCAAGTACATTTTTTCGGCACACAAATGACATGTGATAACGATCACGAATTTGATTTGAATCATCGTCAGAGCCAGTAAAGTGCAAACTAATCGAGCAACCGGACTCGGGAAGATCTTGATAGGTAAATCCATATTATAAGCTCGATGAGTAGCCGCGCGGGCGTATTCCGCGAGGGAGAGGTGATTCCAACACGCTTCGGAATGCTTTGCAGCGTAATATTGCTCGTTAAACGACAGAAAGGGGGTATTGTTTTTAACCGTCGCAATGTGTAATGTCAAATGGTTGTTTGTAAAGGTGCAAATGAAGACATTAAATTGATGAAGAGACGATGGTGAAAAGAAAGAAGGAAAATAATAATTAAGTGCGACTTGTCTTCATTAGGCGGGACTTTGCGCAAGATTGTTTAACGAACCTGACGTACAAGGAATTTTTATACTCGGTATCGGAGCGAGAGAGAGAGGTTTCTTTTTTGATCGATGTTAACGGGTTTGGGATTTTTGTCCGAAGAGAGGTATAACGTGCAATTATCGTCGAATTCCGTTGTCAGCCATATGCTCGATTGCCATATTTTTTCGAGGAGTCACGTTCTTCTATTTTTTTTATCGTGTTTCTTCTGCTTCTTTTTTATTTTGTTCGATGAATTTATGTAATTTTTCAGGTTTTTGTGTATTATGTATTTTTAATCTTTTGGTGAATGTTTGTCAGGGAATTTTTTTAATATAGTTGAACTACGCAATACTTTCTTTTCAAAAACTAGTTCGACTTTTTGGAAAGATTAATGAAATATAACGGTAATTTAATACATCAAAGATGTGTTTATTTTCTTATAAACAAATGAATCAATTTTTCAATACTTGGATTTGAAAGTACAAAAATTTCCATAAAGCAATATAAATCCTCTAAGATTGTATTCTACTGATTACTGCATTTATAATATTGTTATCAAATCAAGTTGGATCAAAAAATCTGTCCGAATTCCACTTTAACTATCTACATTAAAAACTTTGAAAAATACGAAACATACTGTGATAGCCGAAAGATGGCTCAAAGCGGCTCGGCAGGTAGAAATAAAAATGCAAGCCCACGCGACTGCCTCGAATAGATTTTATTGTACGTGTGCGTGTGTGTGGATTGATATCCAACTGATGTTGGCTCGAACGGAATTTCCGGAGGCTCGGCGAAGGAAGTGGGACCCCTAAAAGTTTGTCGACCGGAAACGACAAACACGGGGCATTTCAATCTAAACCTGGACTGCTTTTCTTTTAAAAATTCACAGCGTTATTCTACGGAAGCATCACCACGATGAATCAAACTTGTTTTCCGATTAAAAAGAGTCCTCGTAGGAAACAATCAAAAGCCGTGTTATTTTGTCGCAATCGTCGTGCGCTGTTATAACACATGTCTCTCTCGCGAAATTCCATATGTAAATGGACTAATTAAATGCTAAGCGTGTGCACATTGATTAGCTGCTAATGAATTCATATCAAACGCTCTCTAGTCGTCGATGGTGCGTTGGCAGGCGTTAAATATTAATGCCGTTGCTCCTTGCGATATACTTTTCCTTTCAACACCGCTATGCTTTTTCAAATCCGAAAAATATTCGCACGAGCGAGGCGACGGGGCGATCGGTCGTTTTGCAACAAGTCGGCAGGTGCAAGGCGAGAAAGAAAGAGAGGAACGAACGCAGAGGAAAAAAGCGCATAATCACTTCGTTATTCGCGCAGGTTCACCAAGCCCCAGACATTCGCAGACTGCATCGGCAACGAGCTACCACTCGGCTGGGAGGAGGCCTACGACAAGCACGTGGGCGCTTACTACATCAATCATGTTAACCGTGAGTACACATCTACATATATTATTCAAGTCTCCACGCGCGCGCGCTGCTCTCGTTTTGTCTTTTCTCGCTGCTCGACGAGAGCACAGTTCGTCGTCGTCGTCGTCGTCGTCGTCGCACGTCGCCTTGCGACATACTTCGCCGTCGATGCAAGCATATACAACGCGGAGAATATTTCAATTTTACGAGCCACATGTTAAATTTTACGAGCTCGATGCCTGGATGCTAGTTTATTAATAGTTGCTTTCAATGTTATATCTGTTTCGTTGTTTCGCGCGGCAACTCGCTGTTGGCTTTGAAAAATCGCCGCGACGTCGTACCAATGGAGCGTTGACGTCGGGTCTTTTCAGAAAGTAAAACGAAGAGGAGAATCGTGGGTGTCGACGGGCTCGACGGAACGGAGCGGAACGGAAAATGCGACTGCAACAACGTTATAAGGCTTCCAAGGGGTCAAGAATCGGTTAATCGGCCGCTCTATAATAGGCTTCTCTCTCTCACTCACTTACTCCGTTGCTTTAGCTATTGGCGCTTAAAGGGGGGGGGGACTATATAGGATCGATTGCGGCAGTTGTCCGCGGCGGCGTGCGCTTGTCGCTTTCCCAATCGGCCAATTCCAATTTCCCTCGTAAGAGCGCTCCGCGCCGAGCTTTCATAACAATGCATTTACGAGCGCCGCTGTTTCCTTCCAGAAACGACACAGCTGGAGGACCCCAGACAAGAGTGGCGAGCCATCCAGGAGAACATGCTCCGCGAGTATCTGCAGACCGCACAGGACGCACTCGAGGTGAGTGAGCCTTTGTTCCGCGACAGAGCTGCCTACTTCGCCTGGCTTGCCTCCCAAAAACAAAGCGAAAAAACGATCAAATACATGGATATATTGGAAAGAGACCATTTGTTTTGACGATCTAAATCGAGCGCGACAATGGCGGAACTGACGGAAATGCTCGATCTCCTTCTTCCCGTAATCACGACGTGCCCTCGAGAGCACCTCGACGAGCAAAGGGAAAGACATTGGCACGGGAAGAATAATTTGCAAGAGCCGCTTCCGTTCGGGGTTTTTTTTTTTTTTTTTTTTTTTCTTCGGGCGATAAAGAAGGGAGGCTTCGGCGCGTATGCCTAACGCCGAATATTTACGAGAGACTGGCGCGCGTGCGCGCGCGCGGCAACGTTCAAAGGCGAAGATGCCGCGCGCGCGATTTATCATCGCGGATGCGCGTGCGTCGGTGTTTTCAGTAGCGACTTCGCTTTTATGGTAATTGAATACGATTTTCGAGCTCACTGATGGATCGCCCCACTCGTCCGTGTGTGCGGAATACGCGAATTCTTTGGATGATCCTCATTAGCAGATGTATTAGCTTGATTTATTCCATTCAATTTTCGCCGTATAAATCTTCGGATTAGCGCTTTTGTGTAATTGATTGGCTCGCCTCGCGCAAGCCAAAGAGACGTTTCATTCTTTTTTTCTTCTCTCTCGGGCGACAGTAGAGGTGCAGCAGCGGTTCAATCAAGTCGGCTTCCTAAAAATTTTTATCGGGTGTGTCTTCTTCCGCCGATTGTCTTTCGGAGCGGTTAATTGCTCCGAAATGAAGAAACAAAATAAAAGAAATGAGAGAGAGAGAGAAGGCGCCCGCATTCCGAGCGATGCATGTGTGCGTGAGCGACTTCCCACGGAGAGAATCGATGCCAATATGGTTATCCTTGAATTTATTGAAAAATTCGAAAGGCAGGAGAGGGAAGGAGAGAGGGAGAGCGGGAGAGAGGGAGAGAGAGAGAGAGAGAGAGACGTGCCTTCCGACGCCTCTGCGGATTTCGGATTTAAACTTTTTCTTCTCCAGCCTCGAACTCTCCGTCGCGTTCGGATTCGCGACAGCGCAATCAGATACTAGAAAGCCAAGCGTCGTTCGAAACGATGATTTCTTTAATAACAGATATTCGCGCGGCCGACGGCGATTCATTCGCAGAAAACTCATTTGTAAAGCCAACGCATCGCCGAAAAATGTTCCGAGCTCTTGCATTCGCTTCTTCCTTTTTCCTTTCTTTTCTCTCCCTCTCGCTCTCTCTCTCTCTCTCCTTTGCTTTTTATCGAGTGCCGAACAAAGGCGTGCTGCGGCTCGCATTAAAGGCCCGCAGGAATTCGAAAATTTGAGGCGTCCGTAAATTCGATTTTAATGTCTGCTTCCTGCCATGTGGGGGTGGCGGTGGGCGTCGACCAACTTTTTCTCTCATACGGTACAAAGCCAGCTCGGCTCACAACTGCATCTTTTTGTCGAACGATTTTCAAGAGTGAGCTATCGATAGATCTGTTTTTGCGACTAGCGCGCAGTGATTTACCGTGTCAATTTCCGCGAACGCCTCGTCCAAGTTACCCATTCGAACGCAGATGATAATTGAGTTTCTAGGTGTGTTTATGCGTGAAGATCGTTGTACGCTAGAGAAGATTTTGCACCCAGATCACCATCGGGAACGCGGCTGTTTGCTTTCGTCGATCGAAAATCACGCCCAAATTTTCCACGAACCATTGTCCATATGGGAGGTTCAGACGCATACGGAGAGCCATCTGGTTGGTTTCGATGCAAAGAAACGTTGCGTGCGTTCCGATGAAAAGGCGCGAAGCTTTCGCAAACCGGTACGAATCAATCGCTCGCACTCTCCGCAGTCCGAGAGAAAACTCCCACAAGGCGCGCGGCCGCGCGTTCGTGTGTAAGGGAAGCGCAGGCCGTGGGAAATTGAGCTGGCAACGAGCACGACTTCCGGTCAGTTGCGGCTGCTGCTGAGGATTGCCGAACGTTTGGTAATTATGGCCGAAAACACCGAGAAGCTCGGCGTCCGCGTTCTTCCATTGAATTCTCGATTGGAAGGGTTGAACGAGCTCTTTATCCAGATCCTGTTTTGATTCATTGATACGTATCTATCCCCCCCCCCCCCCCCCCGCTCCTCGCAAAAACCAAGTCTCGGCGATACGCGCGCAGGAGAGCGAGCGAAATAGCAGGAGAGCGACTAGAGAAAAATGTCGGCGCAGAGAGTTGCATGTGTGGGTAAGTGCAAGGGGGATTGCATTCCGATGCAAATGGCCTCCCCTCCTCGTCTCCGCCACCTCCTCCTGCGCGCTCCGCGGCGGCGGTGCCGGCGACGTCTCGTCCTCCTGCGTTGCGCGCGATATTATTTCGCGCGATCACGCGGCGTCGGGCGGAGCGCGCGAGGCTTGGCGCGGCTCTTTTTTTCGGTGCCGCGGGCCAGCAGCAGCTTTCCCGAGGATCGTCCGCGCGCCGCGAGTGCCGGCCGGCTTCCCTCGCGCGGGTCAACGAGAAAGAATCTCGAGAGCATCGCGCGGGTAATTGCGCGCGAGCACTTCGCCTGTCTCCCTCGCGGCGAGCCTTATTTGTCGCGATCGGCGCTCCACGCACGGGGCTCACCTTGAACACGCGCGATGCACTATCCGCGAGTTTCGGCCGTTTGAATCCGTCGAATTCCGAGCGCCAAGTGCGTGCACGAGGCCGGCGGCAATCGTCAAACAATGAGAGGCGTCTCTCTCTCTCTCTCTCTCTCTCTCTCTCTCTCTTGCGAGCGCGCGTGCTTTATTATTATCGTTGATTTTTAGCGGTTGAGGCCCCGCGAGAGGAAAAAAAGGCAAAGAGAGGCGCGGAGAGAAGGCAGAGCAGCAGCACACGTACGCGCAGTAGCTTATAAAGGAGGGGAAGCCAGTCACGGTGACTTGCCACGAGGAAGATTGGAATGTCCCTCTCCCTCGCGAGAGAGAGAGAGAGAGAGAGAGAGAGAGAGAGTCGTAGTGGCTACCGGAGTTACGCTCGTAAGGGCCCCTACTCTGTTTCTCTCTCTCTCGAGCGGACCGAGAGAGTGGGGCCCTTCGAGTGCATTACGGGAAGGGGGAGGCTGCACGTATACGCGCCGAGGAGGATTTGGTATAGCGGATGCACAGAAAAATCTCGAAAAGAGGGAGAGATTGAGACGGAAATGAGCGCGCGCACGCGAGTTCAAGAAACTCGGACGCATTTTTTTCGTCGTTTTTCACCGAGAGAAGAAAAAAGGAGCGAAGGTGCAACATCGGGAATACCTCGTTTGCGTATACCAAGCGAGTTTTCGCATTCCTTGGCTCGCGAGAGAGACGAGCAATGTTAACGACCACGCGGGGCCAAAGCGAAATTCCTGAGACGATACACAAATAGGACCTGGCTCGTACCTCCGCATTTTTCCATTTGTCCGGGCTATTTTTAGCGCTTTTCGAGTTGGCATTCCAAGCTCTTTCTCTCTTTGTTGCGTTGACACGGCGCGTCCCCCAGGTGCGCGCGAGAGCCCGAGCAATCGCCAATTTCATCGTCACGCTCCGCGGCCCCCGATGGTTTTGACCTCCGAGGTCGGATTTCGAGGTAATCGAACGATACCCACCGACGCGGAGGAGAGCATTCCGTTTTCTTACGGATTCGTGCGATCGACGTGGCGACGAATCCCGCAACTCGTGGAGCCTGCGACGCACCTCGATTTGCTTATCGGAGAAGGAGAGACGCGGGCAGAAGAGCCGAGGCTGCGCGCGCACAAAGAAAGTGAAACGCGGAGGGAAAGCCGACGCGTAAAACGAGAAGCGCGGCGTGCTTTCACGCATAGAAAAAAGCCGATTGAGCCGTCGGAAAGGTCAGCCGTTATCTCCTTCGCGCGTAGGAATGCGGCTTTTTTTCCTTCGCCGCCTCTTATCTCGCCGACGTCTTATCGCTCCTCTCCCATGATAACGAAGAAGAAAACAATCGGGCTGCGTAGGCGCGCGCGCGTCTCCGTGTCGCGCGTTCGCCGAGTATAATAAGTATTGCCTTCCGCGATTCCGCGAAAGAACGCGCGACCGAGCGGCCTGGCAAAACAGAGTCGTGTGGCTCGCGACGCACAATCGTCATTGTTACGATTTCTAAGATTAGATCCTCCGTCCCTTCGTCGCCGGCCCTCCCTATCGGTGGCGCGCTCGCGCGAAAATACCCGCGCGAGGCTCGTCTAGGAGTCCGTGCCGCGCACCTTTTCCCCGATCGGTCCGCCCACGACGGCGGAGCTTCGTTGTGCCGCCTTTCTCCGAAAGAAAAGAGAAAAAAACGGCGGCTTGCAATTCTTCGACGCGTTCCATCGAGAGAGTAGGCGCGCGCGCGAGGGGCCGGTTTTAATTTTTCGGAGCTCGCGCTCGCGAGTGTACAGTTAGCATTCCGAGCTAAAATTACATCCTTTCCCTTCTTGTGCTTCTGTGCGAGTGAGAGAGAGAGACTCCGCGCTGCACGCAAGTGTGTACCTCGCTCTGCCGACGCAAACACCCACTTTTGCGCGATCGACGGACGTCTCCCCCGCCAGTCATATCTGCATCGCGTCGTATCCTGCGCGTAGGCGTTCGCTACCGGCGCAGATAAAAGTTACTGCGCCGAAAGCGAAGTCGGGGCGTGACCTTTCGAAAATCGCAGCGGCTCCCCGTCGCGCCGGTCGCCTCAAGGCGTTGTTGCCTGTCCTCAACCGCCTATTATCCTACTAACGAGGCTTAAACACTTGAGATTGTCGCAGGCCGAGGCGCCATGAAAATCGAGAGAGAGAGGGACAGAGAAATATCGGATAATCGCTTTCTTTTGCACCATCCGTGACACCGTACCGAGCCAATGACTCGTGCGTAGGAAAATTCTCAGAGCGGCTTAATGGGAATCGAGGAATAATTATTAATGGTGCGACGCATCCCTGGGAAGCACGCGCACTTTGTTTTCGTTTGCGCGCGTAGGAGGAGTTCGCAACGATAGCGCATATCCGGCA